CACTACCACCATTATTGTCATCATCAATATTACCATGACAACCACTACCAACCATTATCCACCACGTCCTAATTGTCATTGTCATTATCCTGTCAATCATTGCCACTATTAGAGTGCACGCACTAAACCCATGAAGCATATTTAGTACTAATTAGTAGTAATTCATACAGAATCCTTTGTTTCCTAGTCACTATTTAGTACTAAAAATCAGTATTTGTTTCACGGGTTTAGTGCGAGCACTCTACTTTCAATATCTTTATTAAAAACCATCAGAATTAACCAGGATTAAGGGCAAACCATGTATCTGTAAGCAAAACCAAAGTGCTTAATAGCAGATATCAGAGTTACACTCTATTGCCTTCAAACAATTGCCTTCATCAAGTCCAGACATTTGGGGCAATACAATAAAATTTACAGACAATATGTAATTAACTTTTAACCGTGATACCAAAAGGTTCCTGTGGGAACGAGCGAAAAAACGACTAGTAATTTAAATCCCATTTATTTTCACCTTTAATTCATAGGGTGGAAGAGGGTGCATATAAAGGAGGGACTTATGCAAGGGAATTTTAATTGGTAATTTATATTTTCACTTATTATCATGGGTTGGGGCTTGGTTATGGATTTTATTTCAGTAGGGTTGGGCTTATAGTAGTATTTAGGTATTATTAGGCCTAGGGCAAACGTCAAACTTTCCATGCACTGAACTCATTAAAAACAATGGATATCAGGTGATAATGAGGCGGCATTCGYTGATGTAATTAAGTTCGGTGCATGGAAAATTCGACATTTGCCCTAGGCCTTAGTCTCTTAGTTTAGTATCCAGGGCCCGGGTGTACAAAGCCTGGATAGTGCTATCCAGCAGATAAATGCTTATTCAGTGGATACCAGTCGATGCTGTTTTCCAATAAATTTATCCTACTGGATAAGATTTATTCATTGGATAGTACTATCCAGACTTCGTACATCCGGACCCAGACGTATAGCTACTCTGTAGAAAAGCTGGAATAAACCATTATTATCATTATAAGAAAACTACTGAATACTCAACCATTTCTTTTATTTATCACTGTCAAAATCTCTTGTGAAATGACCAACCAGGGCTGTTGAAACCATACATGTACAAGCAGTAGACTAGCTCGATATTAATTTAGTATTTATGCTTGAGTCAATGAAAACCCTGACCCATTCTTCACAACTCTGGGACAATGTGAGGCTTATAGAGGGGGATATTTGGGGAATAGACTGCCAAGCACCCACCTACAAGGTGGGACGTTAGTCACTTTTAGCAATAGGGCCTGGGGAAGGGGCATAGGTGGGGGATGTATACTGAGTCTGCAATATCACAATCAGTGGCTGTCCACAAGAAATCAGAGTGAAAGCCAGGCAATCATGTATGGATAATCAAGACAGCTCCGAATGTGTGGGTTTTCAAGGTATTTGATATCCCCCTGGTGGGGCATTAGAGGGTTGACCATGCTTTTTTTCTAAGCCCCACATTGTCCCAGGGGTGGTGGGGTCCGGGTTTTCGTTGACTCATGCATTACCCACAAAAAACAAAAAAGTCTCCAAGGAATGTCACACAGACTTTAGCAACAGCTCTTCCAGGACATTTGAATATGGAAACTTCTTTATCTTCAACGTACTGCGATATGTTTACTCATGTAATGCAATTTCATTTGATTAGGATTCTAAAGACATCATAGGTGTTGCTTGATCAGGGTTCGTGCGGGAATGCCATGAAAAAATTCAAGGAGTACATATTAACACATATTATATGAAAACCAGGCCATTTTAGATTAAACTGTATCGCTAGGAGCAAATTTTGTTGAATTTTCTATTCAGTGGATTTGGCGATTCTATCCCCCACATAAACAAGCAGTGACGTCATAGTGAATTAGGGCAATTGATACACAACTTTTTTTATGAGGTTTTCAAGATCTCACTGACTTAACTGATTTTACTGACTTTATGGACTATGACAAAAAGACATTCATGATGACGCATTTAAATATAACACGCCTTAGCTAGTTTGGATCTAAATGTTGACAGCTCAAGGAATGCTCTACATTTATACGATACACAGCTAAGCTTCATCTTGTTGTGAGCAAAGTCTTTGTTGCTTTAGATTTAGATCTCTTGATGGGTTTTCCCATTTCAGACCACGTGTCCTCCCTTGAGAATAAGATTCCTTGTTTGAGCTGTATCCATATTAATGTGTCTTCTCATGTGCAACCCAGCGCAAACCTTAAACAAAGAAATTATACTCTAGGGAATGACATGTGGTCTGAAATGGGAAATTACGTCAGAGCCGAAGAGTTCTATAAATGCAACCGTAGTTATTACTCTTTCCCCGGAGCCTCAACTCGGATTCGGTTTTGTGCTCACTCACTCAACCAGAATCAAAAGTTGGCTATTCTATTCCAAAGCAGCTACGTTACTGAAATAATCTCAAACCACAGAATCAAAACTCAAAATATCTATTTTTGCTTGCAGTTATGCACAGAGTTAACCCGAGAGAATGAAAAATGAGTGTCGCCTCTTTAGCATGGGTGTACCGTATTCCCATTTCAGACCACAACGTGCCATTCATTCCTTAGAGAATGGAGTACAGAATAATATTATTTGTTTGAGCTGTAACCATAGTCAAGTGTCTTCTTATGCGCAATCGATAAACAAAGAAATAATACTCTAGGGAGTGACACGTGGATTGAAATGGGAAAACAGTACATCCAAGCTAGAGATATTTATTAAAAGGAATTGGGGATACGATTAATGTGCTATGAACTTGCCTCTTGTCCAACACGATGTTCTCGTCTTAAGATTCTTTTGACTGTAGTTTTAACTCGTTTGCGAATATCATTCATGCGCCACAAGTACAGCACAGGATTCATTGTGGAGTTTATTGCTACAATCAGGTCACTTATCAGTAACACCTGATATGATACCATTGAATGAAAATCTTTCGCATTCTCGAGGGCACATGTAACAGCCGAGCAAAAACTAGGCAAATATAACAGTAAAGATGTCGACATGACAAGTGACATGGTATTCAAAGATCTTCGGTATTGCGAGACATCAAAGGTACCGTTTTCATTTTGTGGTTGCTGACTGGAAGAGGATACAGAAGACGTGAGCTTCTTCAGTGAGTAAAACGACATGGAATAACAGACGATTATTGTTGTGAGAAACAAGAAAACAAGAGATGGTAAAAGGATACTTTTTTGGTAATAAAATGTATTCGATAGAAGTAAAGTCAACAGCAGGAAAAGTATCCCCACCCAGTAAGGGACAGTCACCATCCAAATACGTCGAGATGTCACAAACGATCGATATCTGTTTTTCAGTCTAATGGCCAACAATCGATCAACACTAATAAGAGTCAAACAGTACAAAGACACAGAACCTAACCAGTGTCCAATAACATGAGCAATCGCAGCTATATAACAGTATTTTGTGCTCCACTCCTTAATGTAAGCATAGTGAGCGAGGATCGTTAAAGTTTCTGCAAACGCTCCAAACATAAGATCCGATAATGCAAGATTAGCAAGAAGAAGATATGAAGGCTTGTGTAGAGATGGATTCTTCCAGATGGAATACAGTATTAAAGAGTTCAGATATACGGCTGTTAGTGATGTAACTGCATATAACGTGGATAGAGTTATCCGAAACGATGGCAACTGAAGGAAGGCGTTGTAGCGGAACGAATAACAACTGTGATTCATCTTGGTCTAGAAGAGCAGATACTTAGCGTTCTGTTGCTATCGATTTGAATGAACGCTATGTTAACTGAGCTTCACTAAACTTGTTTTAGCTCAACACCTGTTTTGGTTAAATATTATTATACCTGTTTTATGCCATCAGTAGAAAGACCATATTTTTTACTTGACAACTGCAACGCTTCTTTTGACCAATGAGACGCGTGAATTTTTTGATTTGGTACACGCATGTTTGCTTTTGATGTTGAGTTTTCTTTTTGAACTTAAATTAAAATCAGTACTGGAAAAAGAGAAGCAATTGAATGGAGAAAGTTGACTGGATAGTCCTAATAAATCATATCGCGCAGACATGTTTTTCGACTTTAGTAAGGYTTCAAAAAGGTTTTTTTCACGATTCATTCTTTAGTCAATAACACGTCTCGTCTCAATCAAATATTAGGTTTTAATTAATAATAAAAGTACTAGTGATCTGACAAATTTATTTATAACTTAGAAGACTTATATAAAATTCAGTACTTTTAAGTAATGTTTCAAAGCCGACAATGAGGACTGGACGGGATGTTAAGTCCAAGCAATTAGTTCCAGTCCGAGGCGTAGTCGAGGACTGGAACTAATTGCGCGGACTTGAAATCCTGTCCAGTCTGATATTGGAGGCTTTGAAATGACTTCTCATGCTCATTAATTATTCGACTTGGAGTAACTGGAACAAAATTAATTCAGTCCTAGGACTGAATTAATTTTGTTCCAGTTACTACAGAATCTTCTCTTAGTTTCTATCAATTGCCCTATTTCACTATGATGTCACTGCTTGTTTATATGGGGGATAGAATCGCCAAATCCAATAGAAAATTCAACAAAATTTGCTCCTAGCAAAACAGTTTAATCTAAAATGGCCTGTTTTTCAGATATAATATGTGTTAATATGTGCTAAAAAATATTGTGAGCGTTTGCTGGCTATTCTACTTCTCTTCGTGGATTGATACGGGTTTTTAGAACAATTTTCGGTGAATTTGCGTTGATTTGACCCCCTCCGACGACCATGATCCTTTGCGTTTAATAGATTGTTTTGATGTGACGTCATAGTGAGGGCAATTGGGATTGAAATATGGATGTTTATTTCTTCAAAGGCAACCAGCTGATCTGAAGTGTCACTTTCAATTCCTTTTGAAATTTTGGATTTCAAATCAAAAATTAAAGTGATAACGTCGCTAATAAGCGCTTGATAACAGTGACACAATAACTAACGAGAGACTTAAGGCATTACCATATTAAGGCCTAGGGCAAACGTCGAACTTTCCATGCACCGAACTCATTAAGAACAATGGACACAGGTGATAATGAGGCGGCATTCTTTGATGCAATTAAGTTCGGTGCATGGAAAGTTCGACGTTTGCCCTAGGCCTAAGAGGTATGAAGTTACCTAGTGAACAATAATCCAGTTTCGGGCGTTCTCTATTTAGAGCTAACATCGATTTTGTGCAGAATATTCGTGTGTTCCAGTCAAGGTCCACGGAAATTCAAAGTGCTGCTAGAACGTCAGTGGACAAAGCGAAGAGACGGACGCAGTCCAAAACTCAGTTCAACAAGATGATCCATCACCGGTACACCCTGGCTCTTAGTTGACTAAGTAGAGACATTTACTGTACTGTACTGTTGAAGTTGTGCATTCTTTGCTTTGCCGTTGGTATTTGTGCATATTTAGACACTGATTCGAGGCTAACCCTGAGTAAATGAGTCTGTAATGAAGAGACACAGCGCATGACGACATCGCTACGGACAAACTCGTGAAACTCTGAATCTGATATCCCACTGAAGTGGGTACGCTCATAAATTTAGCTTATTACTAAGCAACAAGATGAAGTCATAATGGTAATTTGGAACTCGAACATAACACTTTCGGGTTACATATTATTAATCAATTTGAAATCTTTATTGCAAGAAATATAATAAGGTATTCTAGCTAATAAGTTAAACTAAGCTAAAAGAAATATCGTTAAAATCAAAGACATAGAAAATGATTTCAAGTCTTACACTTTAGTTGCATCTATCTAGTTGCATATCCTGAAAACAAATGTTTTTTTATTCATTTCTTAGTCATTAGACGCTTTACTTTGACTTTTCTTTCTTACATTCTTGTACCTTGTCGTTTCGTTTATTCCACGGTTACTTCTTTTTTCCCCAACAGTCTAAAACATTAAGCATTACAATCTCGTTGGAATGGCAGTGTTCTTCAGTCGGCAAAGTTCCTTAATTTTGCAGCAAAATGCATCGCTCAAAAAACCCAGGCAATCAGTCGTATTTGTTAATTCTGCTCAATATTTTCATCCACTTTCAATCCAAGGATCTTTCTCAAGGTAGTTTTCATTGCCTTTCTAAGATCTTTAATGCGCCAGATATACATCAAAGGATTGATTGTAGAACTAACCGCTACAATAAACTCACTAGTCATCAACAATTTATAAACTAACATAGATGTAGGATTTTCATCAAACTTTTCAACGCCCTTAACGACAACGGTAGTAGCTGCACAGAAAAAAGGAAGAAAAAGTGAAATAACATTACAGAATAAAAGCAACATTGTTTTCAAGGATTTTTGGTACTTCGAACGATTAAAATTACTATCTGTTCTGTCTTCGGTCTTGTCAGTCGATGCAACTGAATTGGACAGCTTTTTCAAGTAGTAAAACGACATGGAATATGATACACTCAGCACTATGAGGAGAACGAAGACGCCTGTTGCAATTGCAATGACTAGGGTCCTGATAGATGCGTGAAAGACAAACACCGACAATACAGCAATAAACACCATGATCCACCAGGGAAGAAGAACAGCTTTCACTCGTTTCATGGTAACCACACTTCGATATCTATTTTTTAGTCGGATTGCTAACAAACGATCGACGCTGATAACTGTTAACGTGTAAAGAGACACGGAACCCAGCCAATATGCAACTACTCGAGCCGCTAACGAACAGACACAGAACACATTGGACCAACCTTGGATTGCTGCTATATTTGTGACCAAAATTAACGGTTCTGCCACACTGCCTGCCAATAAATCTACGAGAGCAAGAWTTGCTATAAGCAAAAATGAAGGTTTGTACAAAGATTCGGTCTTCCAGATGGAGATCAGCACCAATATATTCAATAACGTAGCAGTAAAAGATGTCAGCGAGTAAAGAACAGAAATTGTTGTACGAAAAGTGGGAAGTTTTAAAGTCAGCGTGTTGAAATAATATTCTCCATTCATTTTCAGAGATTTAAGATACTAAAAGAATGTACACCATTTTCGGAGTTTTACTCGCTCCCTGAATACCATCTTACACGATGTGTAGGATTAAGCAATCCGTGCTATGGTCTTTTCCAGGATATAGTTACCGAGAAGCATGCTGTGAAAGGGATTCAACTTCAGTTATTAATTCACCTTTATTACCCCGTTTTTCAAATTTGCATATCAGCTATTCAGTCAAATCCTTTCAATAAACATTGTTATTATTACAGTTAAAAATCATTCAGTCAATACAGAAGTACGTTAGACATCAAGCAGGTTGCGAATAAAGCTTGTTGTTTGGTCTATTCTTTTTATCCAATCCTAACTTATATTATATAAACTTATGTGAAGTGAAGGCAGTTGCTCCACTTGTCTCCGTGGTGGGCTTTTATCGCGTATAAGAAATCTTAATTCAAATAATTATGCTATTTGTTTAAATTGGAAGTTAGATAGAATCATGATGATGTTGATG